TTTTTTTTTCGTTTGTGTTATATTTATTTGGTGTATTGCTATTATTGTAAAATAACTGTTATTTCTATAAAAATTTAGTGATTAGGTAACATTAAAATAAAAAATAATTTCAGTATCGGTTGATAATATCGATTATGTTGTTTAAGTATTCATTTTACTTTATACATTTTTAATAAGTTCATCCGCTTACTTTGAAAACCTGTTGTGATAAAACGTCTTTGAGCTTCGTCCATATTAGTATCTGGCATAAATTTGTGGAATAGTTCTGAAACATTTGTTACCTGGTTCAGTTCCATTATAACATTCAATGGAATCTATAACACATATTTTTGTATCTTTAGACAAAAAACATAKTAGTAAAARWTAGCATAAAAATTATACCTCAATGAGTAGATAGTTTTTTATTTAATAAATAAATAATAAGATTCAAAGTAAATACCACAAATTCAACTTCTATACTTCAAACTTTAATCTTCTGTACACAGTTTTGAGCTACTTCTACTTAGGCTTATAAATTATCAGATATGGACCAAATGCAGAATACAACCAATAAAATATAAACGACGAGTTTTCTAAAATAGCAGATCTGTTCGACAGTATTTATATTACAAATCGTAACTTTCTAATATTTTAATAGTTTTAKCGACAAAAAAAAACTTTTTTTTCAAAAAATGTATTCGTYGTCTCTAATGACCGCACGTTGTTCATAAAGAAAAATGTGTTTGTTCGTGATAGATAGAAAAATATAGAAATAGAATAAAAATGATTTTAAAATTAAAATATTATGTGTTGTACGAATTCAACAATGCGTATAACCACTAACCGAATAGTATTACACATGAGTCACGTTGGTAGGAAAATGCAAGATAAATGTAAATATTATTGTACTATCGGTACAGCTAAGTAGGTACTATTATTTTGCTTTTARGTTCTAAACTAGTATACAAAACACTTATTAAAGATAATTTACTCAAATGCGTACTAGACAATATTGCATTATACATATTGTTATAAAATCAAAATAGTGACGGATAGTAACTAATTTTGTATGACCTGCAAAAATGCTCTTCCGTCTGAGAATGCACCAAGGGCAATATGATTATTTTAAACTCGTCACTCTATTTTATAACTCTTGCGCTAACTTCCTACTTAAAGAATAGATACTGCAGGCTTACTTATAATATMGTTGATACTGTTTATTATTCATATTATTATTCTGAAATATAACGTCAAAATGTACTAGAGTAAATTAAAGTTAATAAATATCTTAATTATTATAGTCAAGAGGAAGTACGTCCAAACGTATTAAAAAATGTATATTATATGCATAAAAAAATATAATACATTTTAGAAAGTGAATGATAAAAAAAAAAGTTGTGGCACATTTGAAATCTGCTTTTGTAACACATCATTTTTATAAAATTATAAAGAATGTCTTAAGATAGACGAAAGTAAATACCYGCGAAAATAAAACATCTGATATGGTATTCGTTTTAGAAGAATTATTTTCCAACCTGTGACTTTAAAATGCAATGAAATTTAAATACGTACTATACCAAATAAATTATAAATGCACAATATATATTGGATATCCAATTTAACTAAAGTTAGCGAACAGTTGTTTGAAACTCCGTTCATATTTGTACCTATTCTAAATCCAACTCATATTTTCAGATTTTCTTGAGTTAATTTCCATTAGGTTAMCACGATTATTCGTAAATACAAATATGATTTGCTGTTAAACCTAAAATGACCTACTAAAWTGCCTAACAAACAAGTAGTATATAAAATCCATTAAAGTCATCGACAACCAAAAGGGTCTGTAGGATCCTATATAAGTAATTACGGATGGTACCTGTAATAAAAATCAGATCAATAGTCAATAAAATTGTGTTTAATTGATAGTTAATTAGTTCCTGAATATTACCAAGAAACATTACCTACAGTAAATTACCGAAAATCATTAGTCGGTTTTTAGATCATTATAATATATATATAAAATACCAGWGAATTTAGTCAGATTTTCATTTTGATTGTGATTTATTTAATAGCCCGGTATTACAGCAGTAAATTTCACCATTAGAGTCGCACRTGCARTATAATATGTCTATATAATAATATTTCTCAATAAAATATTTCATTATTTGTATATCGTGTACAAAAATAGTTGTTGTTAATTAGTAAATTTATATATTATACAATATTTTAATTTTACTAACAATTACATATTATCATATGCAAACCTATCCATAATATTATGTGCTCGACWTTTGTATTTTGATTTTTGTTTATTTAAATCGCGGGCGCCGTGTGATCCATATACTTTGTTTACTTTGGTGATTCTGTTACTACCATGAACCCGGTAGGTAATAGGTACCTTATATAATTAAACTTCGAGATATATTTTAGGAACAAATGTTTTCCAGCGGAAACTATAGAAAAGCGCCAAACAAAATTCATCGTCGTTGACCGCGTAAGTAACGTCTCGTGGTTCTCGCTGTACTCAGTGCGCACGTAAAAAAAAGAATATTATAAATTCAAATCAGTTAGAAACTGTTATATAATTATTATAATATGATTACGGTATCATAGGCACTTAYGGACGATGGCAAATGAACACATTTTATTATCAAAAATCCGTTGGACCTGCACGCCCATGCTTGTAATGGCCAAACAACTTTCAGCAGCGCGTACGAAACACGCAAATAACAGAATGAAATACGTCGAAAAAAATTAACTTCATATTATGACGTCATTAAGAATGTTTGACGCCAAAATGACATCGGCAAACGACCCCTGTAGGACGCCAATGGGTAGCGGAATTTGACAAAACCCGTCAAAGTGTTATCAAAAAAAGTTCATTGTATTTCCTAATTCTGAGCATACCCACGGGGGCCCATTGTCTGTGCGGAGGATTTTTTYCTAGATCTCAAAGACCTAAAATTTTTATATTTTTCATAACTACGCTATGGCGTTATCTTACGACTGTTTTTTCGTACWGTAAAATTACCGTATATAGCATACAATATGATGGATGGAAATGCGACACAGTGACACACATATGAGCGTCGCATGGAAAATTATAAAGCTCGATATTTAAAATAATATCGTCGGCACCTTGACAGTAGACGGCGTATATGTTAAAAAACATATCCCATTGTAATCTATTAAAAACGGATTAGCAAAAAAAATTCTGAATTTACTAAAAACCAAAAAATAAAATAAAACAGTCATTGCACGTCAACAATCCCTTACAAGACAGCCGCGCATCGTAAACCGCATATATTAAACATAATAATATTTTAGGTACGGCGTATAGTTTGGGAYTYAGAATCTTGTTATTCAAATTATAGAAATTTAACGTCATACTCTCGAAGAACATGGGTACTAACGCGAACATAAAACAATAAATTAGTTTTATTTACTTCAAAATTGCCTAATTATGAGTATGTTGTATATGCACCTGCAACCATTATAATAATTATTTTGAATTTCACGACGCATACCTATACGTAAATTTACGCGACGACACGACGCCGAGTGGATAAACAATAATATGCACGCTTTTAGGTGTCTACTTGAAATTTAAAATGCGAATTAAAATTTTAAACGATTAATATTCTGTTATTTCGTCGATTATTGGTTCCGATGTTATTAGAACGTTCAATTATCTCTGAAACGGATACATTTTTTTTATTATTATTATTTTGGAATTATTCTGATTCTGCAAGTTTATTCTATTTGTATAAAAATCAACTTATGGCAATGAATATTTTAATTTTCATAAAATTATCTATTAATCAATTATAATATTTAAATTGTTAAATCGTTGAACAACGTGCAGAATCACGCTCAAAATCGAATTTAATTTTTAATAGATTATTAGCTTATTTTTTCATTAATTCTTTATACAATTTTGTTGCTCTGYTTCAGATTTTTATTTAGGACCTATATGAAATTGTTCAAATTAATATTGTTACAAAACGTACATGAAATTAATAGATTTGTTACCTATTTTTTTATAGGATAAACGATTTAAATAGAACACGGCAGTCATGACTAATGAATATTAAAATTCGTGACTTCCATATGTGCAAATAATAGTGTAATGTGTCATCCACCTGTCGCTCGTCATAATATTTTAATTAAGTATTAAAAGACCACAATAATAATATTATGATCATGGGTTATCCTTATCGTGCATTATCATCGAACAATAATTTGTGTAACCCACGTGTTAAAAACCTACAGTACCTACCCTTACAGTTCCCCAGGCTAAT